AAAATGCGCATTTTGCCGATCACCATGCAGTCACCATACAGATGACCATGCACATTATTAATAAGTAAAACATATAACAAAGTGAATCGGCATGGTGATCGGCAAAACGTGCATTTTGCCCATCTCTAGACCTGAAGGTCCGATTTTCCATACTATACTGATCCTAGTAGGGTTTTAGTTTTTAAATTCAGGCCTGTACCAGATGGTCTGGTTACCATACTGTAATTTGACGATTATGACCTGGATAATGTTCGTAGATCGAGTGAAATAGGATAAGAACAACCAAAAATAATATGTAAAAGTAAATTTTGTTGTATATCTTTACATTCAAATTCTCTATAAAAAAGATTCGAATTCATTCCTTATTAAATATAAGTATTATTAACCAAAATCTATAGAATTTTTGTTAAGTGTTTTGAGATATTTTTATTAATTAAAAGTTTTATAAAACATTTCACTTTAAATGAAGTATCTCTACAATTACCTCTAACCAAATTTGATGAAAATTATTTTGTAAAATTTAAATAAATTTTTTTTTTTTTTTTTTAAAAAAAAAAATATTAAATGAAGAATATTTCTCTAAACAAATTCGTGTTTATTTAAATTCTGTACCATTATATAAAGATAATAATACTTTTCGTGTGCTATTTTTCAAAACTCTTAGGGGTTCATGTGCATGCAAGTAATAATGTAAGTTAATTCATTATTCACAATCTTGCAGGACCCCCCTTAGGGGAACATACATAATACGTAACGATTTATTATTCAAGTAAAGGTTATAATGTATGATCGCATCTTTGGAAAGTTTTTAAAATTCGGGAGGACTTAATTCGTCATATATATTTTTTTTTTACAACAAAAAAAAAAAAAAAAAAAACAAAGAAATATTTTTTAATATCAATTAATTTTTAGCAATTAAACAAAAAAAAAAAAAATATATGCTTTTATTTCTTAAGAATAATTAAAAAAAAAAATTCTAATAATAATAATTATGTTATTATATTATGATACGTATATTGTAGCTATATTTCACGTAAATGCATTTTAAGGATTTATCATTCAATAAGTAACTGGTTAAAAAAAAAAGTTCTAAACTCTACTTTTCCAGGATGATGAATTTTTGTTTTTGTTTTTTTTTTTTTGTTTTTTTTCTTTCTTTAGGCAAAATGTACCATAACTGCAGCTACTACAATTAAGCTAAATAGAAGTTTGTATCCAGAAATGCTTGATCCAGTGAAGCTTGCAGCAGCATTGGTTGGTGTTGTTGGTGCTGAACTAGATTTTCTAAAAAATAATTAATTATTTATACATTTTTTTAAGGTTTATGTTGAAATTTAAATACTTACGGTGCAGCTGAACTAGGGGATGTAGATTTAGCAGATGCTTGAGGTTGAGCAGGACCTTGAGAAGCGGCGGGAGCTTGAGCTGGAGCTGGAGCTGATTGAGCTGGAGCACCAGATGGTGGTGGGCGAGGTGCAGCCGGAGCGGCGCTAGTTGCAGCCGGGGCGGTGCCAGATGCAGCTGGAGCAGCTGAAGCAGCAGGTGCAGGTGCGGGTGCAGCACCAGCAGGATTAAAAACTGTGAAAGTTCCAGTGTCCTTATTACCAGATCCATCATTGAGAGCAAGGTAGTAAGTACCCGCAGGAACATTAACCGTCCATTGGTAAGATTGTGAAGCAAGGTTTATTGTATTGCTAATTATGGTTGTGTTTTGAGTTGTGCTATCGATACAGCTTAAAATTCCTGGGATTGCATTAGTTTGTGGTGTATATACCCAAGTGATTGTAACAGTAGCGCCTACTGCAATACTACCAGAAGGTGTATTGAGTGTTGTAACCTCTGAAAATATATAGGTAAAATGTTAAAATCGCTTGATACATTAAATTCGGTATAATTAACCATCTCTTTTTTTGCTTTTATTATATTTAGGATGTTATTCGAGTTATTCAACTTTGCCGAGAATCAGAATTTTTAGACAAAAAGCTAGATAAGCCGAATAACATTATTTGGTTTGTAATTATATAGCCCTTTTTTATCAAATTCACTTTTTTTTTTTTTAAAAAAAAAAAAAAGAAAGAAAAAAAATTTTAACTTACGGGCTGAGGTAGATTCAAAAAAGATCAAAAATACCGATAATAATAACGTAAGGTGATAAATAAATCGTGACATGGTTATATTAAATGTCTAGGTTTAATCGTTCCCGTGATAAATAATATAAAAGAAATGAACAAGAGTAAAAAAAAGACTTTTTTTTTAATTCAGGGAAATGGGTCAACCAAGATATTTATATTTAAAAGAGTGGGAAAACCCGTAAATTACATCCTATATATATAATTTATTTATATAATATAAGAAATACGTGGAAGAATTTTTAAATGTTTTTTTTATATAATATGAATTCATAATTTCCTAATTGTGAAATGCTTTAATATTTGTGCACAAATTTATTAAATTTGCCAAGTTATCAAGATGTTAAACGCATGTATAGCTATTTTGTGTAAAAAAAAAAAAAAAAGTTGTGTAAGCATAGGGGATTGTGGGCTGAATTCCGAGCTATTTTTAGCGAATAAATTGTAACTATAATTTAAATCAAAACTTTTGAATACATACCATGTCACAACATTATTAAGAACTACCTTTTATGTTAATTAAATCTAAAACATTTAGAAATTACTTGTCACCTCTTTCGACAAAGGATGATAATCTTGTTACCTACTTTGGACTACATATTTTATTACATTGACGCACATGTTCAAAATATTGATCATGTAATAAATTAGGATCGAATTCGACTTTTTACAAAGTTGTGTACGTATAAATTTAGGTCGCATACCTTTATTATATTTATATTATTTGTTTATACGTATATTTCTGTGCGACGAATATTTTGAAACCTCCCCCAATTGATTTTAAAACACACTGTCAAATACGTGCTCATACAGAAATACTGTATATATTTAAAATTTTGTTCAATTAATATAATCCACCATAATACTTTAATGTGACCTAATTTATTAATATTTAACAAAATACCAGTTAGATTAAAGTTAGAGTTATCCAATGTAATGACAAAAATTATCGTTATTTATTAATGAATTAAAATTTAGTTGTTATGCAAATGCAGATACACCGAGACAGTTATCGTTATCCTTAAATAACACCTTTAATTAGCAAAAAAGTAAGTTAAATACTCCGTGCTATATTATGCACGACTTTTGTTCCCCTCATGAATATCTTTACTTAATATAGAAATGTTTTCTCTTGGGCTTGATTATGCAGAGCTCCAAAAAAAATTATGATAATGGTAGAATCCTTTGTTGTTTTACATATTATTAATGATTACGTATTCATAATAATGTTATTTAAAAGTTTATTTTGCAATTACCTTATTTTAAATATTTCATATTTCTATAGCCGAGCCTCTATTCGAGATTAAAGATTTAATCATCGTTGTAAAATCGATATATATATATTTTTTTTGTTATTTATAAATTATGCAATGCTTGGTAAAAATACTAAAGAAGTTTTTTTAATAAAAAAAAAAAAAAAAAAATACTAATTACAACATTGACACGATCTACTTTATTTAAATTTATTTCTGTGCTACTAAATAAACTTTGATTACCATAATTATGCAGTTATTTATATTAAATTTTTGTTACTAAATTACACACAATTTATAATTATTGTTCTATAATAAAGAACAGCTATTTCAGTATTTGACCAATACTTTTATTAATTCCCCTTAATACGTATTAAAATGTAGATATTATAGAAAGCTTATTTATACTCGTAAGATTGTAGAAACCTAACTCGTCGAAACTTTAGTAATTACTTAATAGAACAATTCATCTGAAATCTATCAAAACTATTTTAGAGAGTTTAACAAGCATCATTAGTTTGGATTATTAGTGTTCTTGCCTTATACAGTAAATAAATAAAGCAGATGTTTACACTATCTAAGAAAATCATTCAGTTATATCAGAAACATACGTTCATGCAGTATCCAAAGAATTGTAAAATATAGTACCATTATGTTTCAATCTTTTTTAATATATGCAAACTACTAAAAATAATATATTAATTAAGTATGGATGAACATTAATGAAGTTTAAAGAAAATTGAAAATTAGAAATTCGTATCTGAAACTTGCATTTCAAACTGTGTATGTGTTGTTAAAGTTGCGGTCAAATCGGTCGTAGCCATTATTTGTGCATTGATTCAAAGTCTTCCCATTGTGTTTTTTTTTTTTTAAAAAAGAATAAAATAAAATAAAATAATTATTTTTAAAATTATATAGATCTATAATAAAAATCGTAGGTTTCTTAATATGGATATAACGGATATAACTAAAAATTTCATGTAAAGGAAATTTCTGTTACATAATGATTTATTTACTATTGCGAATACAAAATCTAAAACGTAAATAACCGATAAGTTCCTACATTATTTCTAACATTAACTCTAACTTAATTCATTATATGTTTATTTTTACAAGTTATATTACTCGCACAAAAGTAAAATCTAGGGGTGAGAATAGAATTTATTTTGAATCAAATTTCCTGTTTGCAAAATTTTATAGTCCTGTCAGTGTCTTGTCTACGTACGTATCATTTTATCACTGTCGCTATTCTAACTTTCTAAATTTAGTATGTAATAGTAAATAAATTATGATTACTTTTTTTAATTAATTATATAATATTAAAAATTTATACCAATACTGATATCGATATTACGTATTAATTTTCTCTCACGCGCTTTAATATTTCTGATTGGTCTAAGTGCGAAAAGCATCAAAATGAGTGGCGTTTATAAATATAGATTTTGATAATTAAAGTTCTCAAACCTGTTAACTAAATTTGACTATGACATGAACATGTTTTGTCTATCAATCGGAGAATTTTTAAATCTAAAAATTACTTGGCAAAAATTAAAATTTTTTTTAATTTTTGACCTAAAAATTACTTGGCAAAATTAGAATTTTTAGGGGTTATTGCTATAGATAAATCAAGTATAATAATAATATGATACTCAAAATCAACAAATGCAAGCATCATTTATTTTAGTTATTTATACTTTATACTTCACCTATACAAAATCTTGTTTTAAGTTGTTTGATCATTGTTACCATTCGTAAGAGTTATCACATGTACCGAATTTATCTTCATTAATGAAAATGCAAGTATAATGAAGGCATTGCTTGATAACTGATTTATTTGGTTATTAAGTTACGCATAAAAAAATTGAATTCCGAAGGAATTCATTTCTTATGCGATTCTTAAATTTATGACCAAATAAATAAGTTATAAGGCAGTACTTGCATGACTGATCCAGTAAGAATAATCTGCCCGGATATCAATTTTATTATTCGGCAACTATGTAGTTTATGCCGAATAAATAAATTTATTCGGAAAGACGAATCATAGTAAGTTGTACGGATAAAAAGTATTATTACTTACTTATAAAAGTAAATTTATCAAGAACTAAGTTTTATGTTGACTAGTTGCTAAAAATTTAGTTAGTCGACTAAATTTTTTTAATCAACTAAAAAGCAACTAATTATTTAGTAATTAATTAACAATACAAATTATTATAATTTTAGCTAATCATTTTTTTTTTGGCCAGAATTATAATTTATAATTTCGACCAATTTGATTAGCTGACTAAATTATTATTAGTTGACTAACTAATTGATTAAATGATTTTAGTCAATTAACTTCTTAGTAGATCAAATTAATAAATTCCAAGTAACTAAAGAAACACTTTTAAATTAAATTAAATTAAATTAAATTAAAAAAAAAAAAAAAAATTATTATTATATAATATCTGGTCACTGGGACCAACCTAACCATACTTTAATCAGAAACTGGTTAGATTTGGCAGGTGGATGTTTTAAAGCTTAGATCATCTTTCCTAGTATCAAGGGACGTTCAATTCTTAATATTGTGAAAGGCATATTCTGGCCTATCACGTTCTGTTTTTAAACAACCATCGTCTCTCCCTCTACTAACAGAAGTTACAGAACTTTTATACATCTGAGATTTTTTGACATAATTTAACTAAATTGCGTATCGGGAGATCTACAAGCTACAATGATTCTTTTACATGATTATAACCTTTGTTTCTCATTAAGCTTCGCCTCGAGCCAAACCCAAAATAGCATTTATTAGATGCTACTTCACATGTCGGAATCTTGGAGCTTAGCTTCGGTTTGGTTGTTGTGCAGGGTGTCCGACTTGCGTTACGTTACGATGGTCACTCTATTTTTCCGAGGTCACATTTCTCCCCTACCTAATTTTATATCTCTGGTATAAAATCCTTTCTTTCCTCCTGGGTCAAATATATGAGAGCTGATCTAGCGCAAATGTAAGTATTCGGGTTTTCTTTGTTATGATTTTGTCTGGAGTCCTGGTTTTATTTAACGATTTTAACCCAATTATTTTCTTTTCATCTTTAGGTCTTTCGCATGTGAAATCACGATCCTTAACTTCTGGCTGAAATTCAACTAGTAGTTCAATACTTCAGCTTCATCATGGGCAGTGGCAAGATCAGATTCTCTTGGTTCTGGTGGGTGCCATTTTTCTTCTTTTGTTTTTTCATTGTTTCTTCTCCTATACTCATTCACCTTTCTCATCTAATTTTCGCAGGCTTTATCAAGATCTTTCCATTTGTCAAGTGCTTACGGGGTAACTCCTTGTTTCGATTATTGCTTTTATCAAAGCTTGCTTTATCACTATCTGAGCAAATTTCAGCATCTACATTGACTTCATCAATGCATGGTTGTTCAGGTTTTGGCATTGGGTCTTTATTCATTTTAATTCTAATTGCATTGTCTATATCGGTGAATTTTTGATAATTGTCGAGTACTTCATCTTCATCCTTTTCAATATCTTTGTTCATTTTTGTCTTGATAGCAACAACCAACATCATATACCTCTTCAGCATCTTTTTCGTCACCACTTGTTCTTATTCATCATTTAGGTAATTTTTATCTAACTCTTCGTTAGCTGAACAGCTGACATCCAACTAATTATCACATCCGTGTTACTCAATTCTTTATTTTTATATTTCTTACTACTAAATCCATTTTCGTAGTTAACTTATCTGAATTATTTGTTCCTCCAGGTTAATCTATTAAAGGAATTTATTCTATCATGTCCTCGCATTCTGTAGCACTATAAGAATAAATTCTTGTGAATAAATTATTCGAATATCAAAATACAATATTAAGAGTTTATTAATTATTATACTCCCTTTGTGCTACAACTGAAGGCTTCGATATAAAGACCCATTTTCGTATCTCAAGATTTCTTTACTAATTCTAATTACAATTACTACGTTACTTCGGGTAATTAGGCAACAACAACCACAATTATCACAGTACTTCGAACAATTGAACAAACAGAACCACAACTATCTGCAGTACGTTGGAATAGCTAGACACAATAACTATAACTAACCACAGTCTTTCGAGTTAGTTGAACACGAATAAACTACAATTACTACAGTACTTTAGGTAATTGGACAACCACAATTGTCACAGTACTTCAGACAATTGGACAACCACAACCAACTACAATACTTTGGGTTGGTTGGTTGGAAATAAAAGACCATCACATAATATTCTCTAACCTCTTAGTATATTTAATGGGTAGGTGGACAGTACTACAACTTTCAACCTTATCAAGAATTACTCTGGGGTATTGCTACTATTACCAAGTCTCTTGACTTTACTATGTTTTCATAAGTTAGTCATAACTAACTTGCATAGTACCTATTCTTGCTAGTATTAGGCTATATTAGTGACTTACGGGTAGAGCACCTGTTCTTTTTGCACAGTGCTTACTATCACGCCAACACTAGGCTATTTATATGCGACTTACAGGTGGGTCACTTCAATCATTTTTGCACAGTACTTATTCTCGCTGGTACCAGACTATAAATGCATCTTACAGATATATCGTAATCCCTCTAATGACTAATAGATTTATCCTATGTAATAAGATTATGTTCACTAAAAATTTCATCAGAATCTTTAACTTTCATAACTACAACAACATTTGCTTGCTTATTGCATAAATTCCAAATACTTTGTGATCTCTGCTTCTACGAAAAAGTAATTTAAATTCATAAGGATTATTTACAATAGAATATATATCTACTCTTTTATCAATTCATGAAGCAATTTTACTTGTATGTACTTTACTAATGACCTTTGAAAATGCTTTAGCTTTTCATATTAGTAATGTTTGTATTAAAATAGTATAAGGTGGAAGAATTTTTGATAATATTAGTTTGTTTGAAGATGCTAATTATTTTTTTATATCTTTACAAAGAGTTTTTTTTCAAAAGTATTTGATTATATAGATATACATAATTATAATTATCATCTTTAAATATTTGAAAGTATCTAATAAAAGGTAAACAATTTTGTAAAGTAGTTTTTAATACTATAAAATTTTTATCAATATAATCAGATAGTAAGCATAGATTTTAAACAATTTTTTATTTGATAACATAATTCTAAATCTTTATTTTTTCTATTTGTAAATTATCTTTACTAATAAGTAATATTAACATATTTTCTTGAAGTAAAAAGAAATTCTTAGATTCAAAAATTTAACTTAAATATTTTACTAAGATGTTATTATATTATTTTTATAATTCTTAAAAAGTATTACTTACAAAACTTCTTTGATAAAATGTAAATAAAATACAAATAAAACCAATAAGCTTTTGTTTTAACTAAATAAGTTTTGAGATATTTGGTAAATTCTTTAAAAAAAAACTTATAAGAAATAATTATAAAATCAAAAATAAATAATATTTTATAATGTTTTAATAAAATTATATTACTATAAATATATTTAATAATTTTATCATATTGTTAAATAAAAATATGATTTAAATTTTATTTGCTAATCAATTATTCTAACCAATTTTGAGGCAGAAAGAAAAACTAAGAAAACTTAAAATTCTTACTAATAATAAGCATAAAAGCTACTAAACAAAAAAAAAGAAAAAATATATATAAAAATAAAAGAACAAGAAAAAAGTTAAAAAAACTAAAGCTCTAGAAGAAGTTTTAACTTTAAAACAGAATACAGAAAAACTTTTTTGTAAAAATTAGAAAATTAAACAAACTTTAAAATACAGATTAATTTACATAGTACAAATATATGCAGATTAAGGTAAACAAAAATGTGATATAGAAGAACTTATATATTACATGTTAAACAGTAGAAATATTATACATAAAACAAAACTATACAGCTTACAGATAATTAGAAAAATTTATAGAGAATTATAGAAAAAAGACAAGATCATTTTAAATAATAGAAAATAGAGATTAATAAACAAGAAAATCATGATGCAGAAAAAAGAAAAAACAAAAAAGTTAATAAAAAAAGTTGTAAAGAAATATAGCAAAAAAATAGCAATAGAAAGTAGCAATATAGTACTAGAATTAGAAGAGCATCTAAATAGAATAGTAGTAGAATTAATAAGAGTAGAATTAGAAATTATTAAGATAGCAAAATAGTAGTATATAGTAATTAAAAAAGCAATAATAATAAATAAATTTAATAGTATAAGAGTACTAATAGAATTAGAAGAAGAAAAAAGAATAAGTCAAACTAAAAAAAAATTAAAACAGAAGAAATAGAAATAAAAATAGAGAGAAAGAATAATTTATCTCAAATATTCTAATATACTCTCAAAAGCAACTAATACTAAGTAAACCAAATAGTGAGATAGTATTAATAGTAGTAGTATACTTGAAGAGATAGAAAATATAAAAGTAATTAAAGAAAGAAGTAACATAAAACATATTAAAGAAAATTCATAAAATGAAAAAATAAAACAAATTTAGAAGTTTATAAAGTAGCTTTACTATATCAAAATATATAAGCTTCAAAAAAAGAAAGTAGTATAAACAAAAGAGATATTAAAACAAAAATAGTAGCTATAAATATATTTAAGAACAATATGAAGTAAAGAAAAAAGTTTTTAAAATAGTTACTTAGAAAAAATATTCATGTAAAAAAAATTTATAAGAAATTTGAAAAAGGAAACCTTTATTGCAAAATCATTTTTGACTACAAAAAAAGCTATAAAGAAGCAAAATAAACTTGAAAATTTGAAAAAAGATTTCAAAAATCTTAAGCTTATATTAGAAAAAGCTTAGCAAAAAACTACAAAAAAAAGATACAAGAAAAACTAGTCAAAAGTAATGAAAAAAAGAAAGTAGAACTAAAAGAAAAAGCAAAACAATGAGAGAACTTAAAGAAATTTCTAAACAAAGAAAAAGAAAATACTTCAAGTAGCTCTCTCAAAAAATAACTTTGTAGCAAAAAATAATATACTTTTTAAGTAACTAAATCAAAACTCATAATCTGAAATAAGCAAAGATTATTTGATAATTTGAAATTTGCTTATATAGACAAGAAGATCTCAAGTTTTCAAATTAGTATACTATTTTGGAAGAGTAGCATACATAGAAATTATTAAAGAACCTCTTGATAAAATAAGAGCAAAAATAGACTTCTTCTCAAATATAGTAAATACAAATAAGCTAGCAGAGATATAATATCTACTATTTATAAAAAATTACTTAGTTAAAGTCATAACAAGAAAATGAAATTTTAAAGAGCTAAGAACAAACAATATATATAATAGAAAGCTTTTTAATTTTCTAAAGAAAACAAACAAGATTCTTTTGTAGAAACAAGTTAGATATACAAATATTAAAGTACTATATCTTTAAAAACTCTAATAATAATAGTAAAAGAAATATAATAGTATACTTTAAGAATAAAGAAAACTGTATTTTTTAGATTGTAGACCAACACAGGTATATTTATCTGTATTTTTATATTTATTCAGCTCTAATTCACTTTTTTAAAATACAAAAATATCTGCGGAGAACCAAGTATATGTTGGCCAGACTCAATGTACAAAGCAGGCTTTGGCAAATTTCACAACTATAAAAACCAGATATACAGCGAGTACCCTTTTTACAAAAGAACTTAACACAACTTCAGTAACTATTGCCTCATCACATACTAAAGTTACCTGTTATAATCAATTCTTAAAACAATATAATTACCCCACCCTTAATTCAAATCAAACACTCAAATCATTTATTCAATACTTAACTAAACTAAACTACAAACTCCCATTCAAAATATCAATTAATTTTATTCTAAAAGAAACATATATCTACACTAAAATTATGGTCTCACTATTACCACATTATATTATACTCCATCCTACTAACTATACTAAATTCTTTCATTTACCTATTAGATCTCAAACTCTCAACAATTCACTATTACTTAATATTACAATATATAATATTAAAGGATATAATCAACCATTAAAAAGAAAGTTATAGGAGAATTATTATCTTGCTCATAACTTACATATCATAAGCCTTACAGAAACTAAAATATCAACTCAACACACTACACTCCATTTCTTTAATACAAAAGATTTT